TGACGTTCATGGACTTCCAGTGGATGCCCGTTCCCTCGACCGGACGATTGCCGAAACCGCATTGCAACGYGCTTATGGCACAATTGCGGGACTACTTGCACATTGCAGTACCAGCTCTGTTGATGGACGCCGGAGTAGAGGTTGTTGACCTTCACGCTTTCATCGCGAAGATCGACTACAAGTTCAAGACGCAACGGTACGACGACCTCGACGCACCATTGCTATACATATGCATTCAGATCGGAGAGGCGGCCTGCAGTGCCTTGATCGATTGCGGAGCATCTTGCAACTGCATCAACCAGGACTTCATGGTACGCGCCGGCCTTGGCCCACGTGTCCGGAGGAAGTCCCAGCCTACGCAAGTCACTCTGGCAGACGGTCATACGCATAAATCCATCGACCAATGCATTGACGCCGTCCCAGTGTACTTTGCCCCCCACACAAGTGAGGCGGTGTCCTTCGACATTCTGGACACCAAATTCGACATGATCTTGGGCATGTCATGGCTGCGAAGCAAGGATCACCCTGTGAACTTCTTCAACCGCACCGTTCACGTTCGTGACCGGAATGAAGTATTAGTTTCATGCACGGTGCCTTTTCCTCATCCTTCGATCAGCTGCCACGTGGTATCCGCCGCAAGCATACGAGTTTCCATCATCAGAGACGACATCGAAGAGATGGGGGTGTGTTTTCTCCACGCCCTCCCGCCACATAACGCTTCATCGACGGACTCACCTTCGGATCCACGCATCACCAAACTTCTCGACGCCTACAGCGACGTGTTCGAAGACCCGCATGGAGTAGTACCGGATCGACCCATCCGCCACGAGATCATCCTCGAGGACGGGGCCGTACCTCCGCGCGATTGCATCTACCGAATGAGCGAGGAAGAGTTAAGTGTGCTTCGGGCACAACTCGACGACCTTCTAGGGAAAGGCTGGATTCGGCCTAGCTCATCGCCATATGGTGCTCCTGTTCTCTTCGTCCGGAAGAAGAACAAGGATTTGCGGTTGTGCATCGATTATCGCAAGCTCAACGCGCAGACGATCAGGAACGCCGGCCCTCTCCCACGCATCGACGACCTTCTCGAGCGATTGGGCGGCGCCTAGTTCTTCTCTAAGTTGGATCTCAATTCAGGGTACCACCAGCTCGAGATTCGCAAGGAGGATCGCTACAAGACCGCGTTCAAGACTCGGTATGGGCATTTCGAATGGCTGGTCATGCCATTTGGCCTTACAAATGACCCAGCCACTTTCCAAGCGGCTATGACGACGGAGTTCCGACACATGCTGGATCGTTTCGTACTTATATACCTCGACGACATTCTGGTTTACAGTCGGAGTCTGGACGAGCAAGTGGAACACCTGCGCAACGTTTTGGAGCGGCTACGACAGGCCAAGTACAAAGCAAACCGCGACAAATGCAAGTTCGCACAGCAGGAGATGGAGTACTTGGGACACTATGTGACGCCGCAAGGCATCCGTCTGCTTGCGGACAAGATCGAGGCCCTACGAGTATGGCCCGAGCCCACCAACACCACGGACGTTCGTTCATTCATGGGGTTGGCGGGCTACTATCAGCGATTCATCACCGGATACTCCAGGATTGCTGCACCTATGACGAGGTTACAGTCGCCAAAGGTGCCATTCGTATTCGATGACGATGCACGCCGGTCATTCCAAGCACTTAAGACGGCTATTCTCATGGCACCCGTCCTTAGCATTTATTACCCCACCCTGCCGACACGAGTGACTACGGACGCTTCCGGCTATGGCATTGGGGTAGTCTTGGAACAGCACGACGGCGACGACTGGCACCCTGTG